GAATGAAAACCACAAAGAGTGGATCTTCTAAGAATTTTTAGCTCCATTTGCAGTAGTATTTTTAGAATATTCATATGAATGCATGTTTAGAGACAAAAGTTACTTAACTAAATATAGACTTTACATATATCAAGTCTGAACAGCAGTATTTTTATAAAGAATATGTGTATTCGTGGATTCTCATAAAACATTTAACAGACTAATTTAGAAAGACATTTAGCATAAAAAACCCCCAAACTCCCACCAAATCTGCAAAATGTTTTCTAACACCAGTAGGGATTTGCTTTCCAGACACCAAAACCAGCCTCCCAAAGGTTCTGCAACCCACTTGAAATATTATTAAGTTCCAACCTCAGGAGGTGCTGAGCAGCCATCAACTTTAATGGGATATTTGGATGTTTCACACTCATTAAGAATCTAAACGTGAACTTTAGTTTTTGGATCCTAAAGCATCTGCTTTGAGAAATCTTGACTGATGATCTTAAAATACAGACAACTTTAAACCCAAGTATACCTCTTCTTGCATAATTGGTATCCATATCCTTAAAATGCACCATCACAAAATCTGAAGACTTGAACAAGATACTCTCTAGTATGTCTTCACGTTTTGGCCCCAAACTGGATTCTGCAGTTTTCCGATGAGCAGCATCGAGCACTAAATCACACTGTTGGAGACATAAAAAAAACACACAAACTTAATACACAATAAGCTCCTCAGTAACTTCATATACTGGCAAAAACCAAGCAGCTAACAATAGTTTGCAAAATGAATCTGCTTCTGTAAACCTAGACAATGAACAGGCAAAATAATAATAAATACATTTTAATCAAATATTGATTATTCAGTATTAGGCTCTTCTCAAATAGGAAAGAGTCAAAATGAACACTTACCTTAGGACTGTAGGTTTTAAAAACTCCTTCATATATACCACCATTTTTCACCTGTACTTCACATTTGGATCCCTAGAATGCAAGAAAACACAGCTTTCTAACAGCTCAACACATGACATTCGAGTGATTCTCTCAAAGATGTATTTTCTATGTAAGCACAATGTGTAAAAATACAGCTCAGTTTTTAGTCAAATCATCTATTCAACACTTGCCCATTTCTAAACATGCCACTGTGTTCTGCAGATGCAAACAGCTGGGTGTGCAGCACCATTTGTTCTGAAAGGATCTAAAGATACTCACAGAAGCACATTTGGTGCTCATCAGACTCTCTGACCAGTTAATGCACACAAACATGGTTTTTGTACAAAAGCAGTATCTGTGCCTATGTGTGGGTGCAAGCAAGGATGAAAGCTTCTCCTGGGCTCAAGCAGATGCAGGACAGTCTGCCTTAGTTAATTTTGGCATGCTGGGATTTCCCTTAAAATCTGGGGAGAAGGGGGTCCATTCCCTGCACAGAGACTCATTTTATTTAGCCACAACCTCTCTAAAGACAGCAAATTCTGTGCTTCTTTAAAGCTCAATCTTGGCAAAGATGCCTACTGTTAGATTGTAATATTCACTCCATTATACCACAATTAGTGGACTAGTTAACAATTCTATGTCTCTATGGCAACTGTTTAGCCCCCCCCCCCCAAAAAATAGGAAGACTTACAACAACTGATGTCAGTATGTGAACCATTCTCATGTTTGCATAGATGCCATCAAAAGAAATCTGAAAAACAGAAAAAGATGTTGTCATGAACGTAGGAGAAACACTTGTTAACAACTCAAAAAGCAAAATAATGCAGGTTTTCATCAGTGTGTGCTAACTCCTAGCAACACTGGTCCCAAATCTTACTCAAGTCAATACACATAGAACTTAGGTCAAATGAGATTTTGAGAGGACTCTTACCCCTTTCTCTGATCGATTAAAGAGCTAACACTCTTCCAAACAAGATAAACAGCACAGAGTGCCCCTAATTTCACTCAGTAAGGGAATTCTCTTGGTTAGGTAGCTCATATGCACAGTCTCCTAACTGAAAACCCTGCTAACATCCCTCACTGGTTTAAGAGTCATCAACAGGATAAGGTACTTAACTGCTGTAGAAGTAAAAAAAGGTGCTTTCAGGGCCTGCTGAAGTACATCTTTCCATCTAACAGATCAGGACACATGCACTAACAGGAGCTAAAGTCATCAAACTGTGGAGCACCAAAGAGCTACAAAACCTGTCATAGGATTAGTCAAAAGTAATTCACTGCAGAACCAGGATGTGTGATCCTATACCAGGAGAGCTGACCAAGTATCACCTAGGTTGCCAGATGATACACTCACACAGGCATACATGAAGTGGCCAGGATGTCTGTGTTTTGTTCCAACATCTGGTATTTGTCCCTGTCAAATTCCTGCTTGTAAAACAAGAGATGCTGAAACAGGCAAGGACTCCACCACATTCTGAGCTTTTTAACTGACAACGTATCTTTTAAACTGTCAGCTGCTTAATCCTCTTACTCCTCCTGCACCTTCCTGGTCTGAAAAGACATGTTTGAAGACACTCCCATGCTCACCACTCAGTATGGAGGTGATGTTTAGGTTTTGCATATGGATTTTTTCACCACTCTTCCTCAAAGCTTCTTTATTTTTACTGAGGTGTCATAAACATTTATGTAAGTAAACTACAGTCCTTTCAAACCTTCCTACTTCTGCCCCATTCCCCAAAATTAGTCATCCTTGAAAACCAGGCAAATAACAAATGAGCAAATATTTGATTAGTGCAGTTCAAAGATCCACATCTTCAGTTTTGATAAAATTGTGTTCTACAAGTCAAGGCACACCTATGCTTCAATGATATACAGCCTTGAGAGTAACTGGAGCTACACGTTCAGGTTACTGGTTACCTATTCTATAGTAAAGCTAAACAAAATTGTTATTTTTATTTGACTAAATGTTGTCTTACTGTCATCTATTTAAGGAAAAAGCCAATGTTATAATCTTCAGATAGGAACTAATTCAAAAGCATTGCCTTAAGTTAAATACCACCCGTATCTACAACGATAATTGCAAGAAAATGCAGAAGATTTGTATTAGTGTAGTCAAAAGTTGAAGTGAACCTTTCCCTCCTCACCCTCCCAGGAGGCTTAAAAGAATGCAAGATGCTATGTCTTTAGAAAAGCATAACTCAGTCCAAAGTATTCACCAGGGTATCCAAAGGAAAAAATGGAGAGGATAACCCCGTATCTGCTATTCTTACATCGATACTTGGGTTCACTGTACATTAATTGTTTCCTTATGTGGATATATATATATATATTTCTTATGCTATCTAGGAGTGGCAGAATGAGGAAAACATACACTTACAGTAGGCTGAGGCGGTCCTTTGCCACTGCTGCGACCTCTGAAATTAAATACATACATGGGATATGATTAAAAGCACTGCTGAAACCAGTACATTTCTTAACAATTAAGAATTCAAAACCCCATTTTAATTTAATGTGGAGAATGGGAGCAGAGAAAACCACAGCTCCCCTAGAGCAGAACTTGACAAATACAGGGCCCACTGCATCGATCCTCCAAATTCCTGACCCACAAGCAAGCGACACTGGTTAGCAGGCGAGAGAGTTACCAACAATAAATTAAAGGACAAAATGGAGAACATCCTAAGCCTGTGTCATTATAAAAATCTAAAAATATATTATCTCTTAAGCAGAATCACTGAATTATAGAATCACAGAAGGGTTTGGGGTGGAAGGGACCTAAAGGCTCATCCAGTTCCAATCCCCTGCCATGGGCAGGGACACCTTCCACCAGAGCAGGTTGCTCCGAGCCCCATCCAACTTGGCTGCTTGAATCATGTAACTAAAGCAAATTCCAAAACTTATGGCACACAAAACCAAGATCCACTTCCAGACCCAATCCCTATTTAGCCCAGGGCCCTCTCTTGAGACTAGAGGCTCAGTACATTGTCACTGTCCGTTTGATTAAGGGCCACCCAAACAACAGAGCCCTGCTGCAGGATACAGAGAAGCCCTGATTGTAAGGCTTGCTTGTAACTACTACCACAACCCAGCAAGGGAAGCTAATGAAGTCTATCTATCCCCTCAAAAACACTATAATAAAACAGCTTTTAATGCAAATCTGTCAATGTGGAGCATTCAGGACACTCCAAAAAGCTTTTAGATTAACCTACATGCCCTGAAGTCCTTGCAAACTGAGATGTACCAGCTTGTCCCCTCTACCTCAGACACCTGAGTCCCAACAGCATCCCTGCAGCCAAGCAAGTCCACGAGAGCTACAATTCTTCAACCTCAGCAGTGTGCCTTATTTCAAAGTTACCTCCTTGTACCAAGAAGTCCTAGTTTCAACTGTTTCTCACAGTGATTTAGATTTGTTATTACAATGACTTCAGAAGTGCAGACCGTAACGTGAGACAAAATAAAGTCTTCTATAAAAATAAATCCATTTTAAACCAGACCCATCTTACAGATGCAGAACCATTTAATTAAAGAGAGCCACCAGAGTCATGTCCACGTTTCAAAACATCCAAACAACACTGAAATCTAAATCCAACTGAATGTCAACAGCATTACAAAAGCATTCAATTGCTTTTGTAAACATGATGCTGTGGCTGAACACAACCTTGCTCTCAAAACAACACATCCTTATAAACAGGGCTCGGGATTTAGCCAAGAAATCAAAGGAACTTCTCCCAGTGAACCTAAATATCCCGATAAACTCTGCAGAAATCAGAGAACCATGAAAGGCCTTAAGGAGGTAAAAATGAAAACCCACTAAACTATTACCTGACTTGCTTAAGAAAAGGAGCTTCTGAAACAGCACCATAGTCTCACAGAGCACCAGGCACACGGGTGACATTTGCTGATTGGCAGTAACTGCAGATTTCAGGTGCCTAGCTGACATTTCAGGATACTTGCAGAGCACTCATCTCACAAAAGGAAAAAACCCTAATGCCTTTATTTAATTACCTATCAGCCTTAACTTCCCAACTTCAGGCTTGCTCTGGAGACAAGCAAGTCCCACCGTTTATTACATGTGTCATATCTCAAATGGCTGCCTATGGCACAGTGCTGCAGTGAGCCCTGCACGAGCCTGGAACATCATTTTCAGACAAATGATCCTCTTCTTCCTGAGAGTCATTTCAGCAGCTGTGAAACACCCCAATAAGAGAAAGGCGCAGTCCAATTCCGATTTCTCCTCTTATTACAATCAAAAGCATCAACCATACGATCTTTCAAAGAACATGGCTTAAGTCAAACAGTTTCACCAGTTTCCTCTGTTGCTCTCAAAGATTTTGGAAGATACTCCTTCCTGCATCAGCTATAGAAATGGTCAAAAGTAAAACAGTTTGATACCTTGGAAACAGAAAGCCCTCCCATTTTTATTGACGAGTATTCTTATAACTTAAATAACTGGGTTGCTAGACTGGTCAGAAGGTTTGGACTACTCACTTTAAGCATCAACCTGAGTGTTCTAGATTTGCCACCTCCTACCACATCTCCAAAATTACTGTTCCTACCCACTTTTCTTTCAGAAACAATCTGATTGTGCTCACCCACATTGGCAAAAGATCCTAACTTCTATATCAAACCAAGAGTTAAGCCACTTGCGGAGACTCTACACGCTGTTCTGGTCTCTTTACAGACCTGATCTCTTGTTTTCCAGCTACAATTGTTAAAAACAAACCATTAGGAAAAAAGGGAAAGACGTTCACTAAGATGAAAATAAAGAGACATTCACCAGTTCTGCCAATGCTACGATTCAATCAAAATTGTGTTTCTTCTGCTAAGACCAAGGCCATCAACTTGAGGTTTATATTCCCACAGGTGAAGACTGAAGTTCAAACTACCCCTTGACACGTCTCTGATGTATCATATGGGAAATAAAGTGGGACCTTTACAAAGTGGAAAGTAGACAAGTCTTTGCCATAAGTAGACCACAACTTAAAACAGAATTAACACTAAGAAATGGCAGGAGAAACTGGAAGGGTCAGTGGCAATTTGGTGCTGCCACCTAAAACCGCATCTTGAATACACTAAGTATGGTAAATAAAAACAAAACCCCAACGTTTTGTCTTGAAGAAATGTGGTTAAAGGAGGTGGGAGAAGGCGCAGCAGCTTGGCAAATCCAACTTGTTAACCCTCTGCTTTGGGGTAGCAAAGTCCCAAGAAAGATGCTGCACCAGACAAAGCAACAACCGAGCAATTAAACTTAGCAGCCAACTCACCGCAGGCCAACAGCTACACCTGGGGAGTGAAAGTGTCTCTAAGGGCTTAATCCCAAATCCTGCACAAGCAACATTCTTCCCCAGGAGCAACTTGCAAATTTTTTTCTATTTTTATGAGCATTTCCCATCCTGTTCCTCAGCATCCCTCATGTTTACATGCCAAGTGGAGCGTTTGTATAAGCAAAACAAGGTCACACATTTCTATTTTCCCAGTTAAGTGAAAACTAATGCAAGGTTCACAAATCTTTTCAGGATGTGAAAGGAAGCCTCGGGATTTCCTCTCCAGCAGCACCTTCACTTTGAGACTAAGAAACGAATGCAACCATACTGCAATGTCTACAGCAGAGGTGCACCTACAAAGACTTGAATTTAACACCAGTGAATAGATGTTTCTGGAGCGCTGGTGGACATTACTACAGCTCTGAAAACAAATATACAGGATACTTGAAAGGACTTTCCTTACACATACAGAGAGCTGGCAAAGCTTTCTTCTAAGGGAGACAGCAGAAGTACAAGGGTTTAAGGGCAGCACTTGTCTATGCAAGTCAAAAGAACCGAAGCAGTCAAATTAAGAAGTCCTGCAGTGCTGTTTTCTGTACTTTTTCCCCAATACTGACATTAATAATGTCAACAACTGTCTTCTTACAAGATGACGACTTCTGTAGCGTCTGAATACGTAAGTAACCTGACTCAACTCTGACCTAGTGCACATCTGTAACCTGCTGGTGGACTTAGTCATTGAAGAACCTTCTTCGTACACACTGCCATGAACCAGTTGTTAAATTAAAACCTACTCCAAAGCACATATTTAACATCATACAAAAGTGCGTTAACGACGATAAAGAGAGAGACCTGCAGGTTACCCATGCATTCTGCTCAGCAGTTCAGCACTGCTGCACTAAAACCAACACACACACACACAGAGATGTTAGAAAAAACTAGAAAAACTGAATGAAACGTGTTGATCAAACCTCCTGAACAGTCCCTTCCATGAGAGCAGAGTGCCTCGGCACTCGATATTCCCAACTACTTCCACCTGAGCAGAATGGACACCTCTCTTCTGCCCTTTCCTTAAGCCTTTAGTTAGGCTAGTAAAAAAGGATGTCAAGGAGAAAGGAAGCTAAGAGTAGGCAAAGAGTGTTGAGTCTCAAAATCAAGCTACACAACATGGGGTCATTTCAGTTTTACCTTTTCAATGGCCGGAGCCATTTATAAAAAGCCAGTAACTGAGGGTATCCTTTAAGAGACTTCCAAGTCCATTTAGGCAAGAAAATTACCAAATCAAAAGGAAAAAGACCTTCTCCCACAATTGTAACTACACACTAACCCTGAGTCTGAGGTGCTTTGCCTTCAGACAAAATAACAATGGGGAAAAAACACTAACAAAAAAGGATGCAGGGCTTGAAGGAATGCTGGGGCAGATGCACTTTCACCTCCTTGTGCTTCTGGAAGAGCAAAATGGAACTAAAACCCAAGAAGTAGGTACTGGGTAATGTTCTGACAAGTACAGCAGAGCAGGTCTGTGTATGAGGTCTACTTCTTCTCCAGCTGCAGCTCAACGTGCCACTGGCATCCCCCAACAGCCTCATTTCCCATCTGCCATATTGCACAGGCACTTGCTATTGAACACGGTGTTTCACTTAGTGTCTGTTTATAAAACAAGGCATTAATCCTTCTTGTTTGTTTTTCTTGAACGTCTTTAAAGAGACCTTCATTGGTCATTTTTCCCCTTATGTAAAAGAAATTAATGTAATGAAAACAAATACTGCAGCATCTTAGTTGTTGACACAAGATTTCATCTTTCCTCATAGAAAATATGTGTATCCATCATTACGAAACCGTGGATGCAGACGCAGTGAGCAAAGCTGACCCTGCTCTCACTACCAGCCCTACAAGGACCAGCTGCTTTGCCCACCTCAGTCTTACAGTGACAATCACAAAGCAGAAAATCAGGTCCAGGACAATTCACTATCAATGTGTTTTCTACCCAACTCTAAGCCTTTTAGGAGCGACTTAGCCATGTAAAGTAACATTTTTTTTGCATCTCAAGAAGAAAATGCTAGTGCTGCAGGGAAATGAGCTGCAGCATGAACTGGAGATGTTTAAGTTTATATTCAATAATATAATGCTTCAAATTGAAACCAAGATGCAGG